TGTAGATTAAGTTCCCGAAACTTCAACCCCACAGCTTTTATAGGTCTTGAGATGAAAGTTCGTGACAGACGCATACACAGACACACGGACACACAGACAACCCTTCGTTAATATGCGTTTTCTGCATTGCATAGCTGCAAAAAACGCATAAAAACAGCCAAAGATCTTTTGCTCAGTTTACTTTACTCTTTATAAAAGACGAAGATAAAGTGAGTGTGATAAAATGCATTGTTACGGTTGAGCCCCATACTCTTGGGATTATGCCCGGTCTCTCGACGAATAGGACTTTTAAAAGGACAAAATTAATGAATTTATGGAGTTCAGCAATTTTACTTGCAGACTAAGCTGCTTCGAATGATATGCTTATTTGCGACAGTCCTCGCAACCATATTTATTTATGCGCAAGCAATGCAAACCGAAGACGGCAAAACGTTCATTGGACGGGTGGCGTCAGCTTCTCAAATTCTTGGGTCATTTGTTTGTCCATTGATGATTGTACGTTTGTTAACTTTTCAACTAGAAGCAATTTTTACCAGGATCAGATTTAAAGCCAAGATTTAGGAGCAAGGAAAAGCAACGTGGGTTGGTGCGTAAAAAAGCAGGGAGAAGGCGACTGATAGTTTCTGATCCCGTATTCGTATGAGAAGGGAAAATTGATAATTTGGGAGAAAAAGCAAAAAAAAAGAGTTCTTGGAGCACCGCTAATTCAAACAACAGTAGAATTTGTCGACAAATTGCAGAATCTACATAAATTGTTACAACATCTCGTCAAAACGCGCTAGATCCCAGGTTATTACTTTTGTCAAGGAAGCATTGGACCGGAAAAATTTTAATTTGGGCAAATTAAGCCAAGATTAGAAAGGCTGCCAGATTGTCAATGTGTTTTTTTTTTGTTCTGAAAGTTAGCAATATTGATAACTATGATTACTGATATAGATGATGATTTGCAGTATCGAGCAATAAAAAGAAAAGTTCTCGATTTCATCCCGATGGGTCCAGTAGCATTTGCGTGGATTCTAGAAATACACGCTGTCATCTACAGCATAGGCATCGATGACTTCTATATGCTGGTATGATTTGAATGATACAACTACGTTTTGAATTTCTGGAATATGCCCTTATACACTTCTGTTTAGACTGAAACTGATCATTTGTGCCAAAGCTTTCTCCACGTTTTACTCGTAAAAATTACCTTTATGCCTTTCTTAGCTGTTGTTTCATCATCGCGTTTCTCCTCATCATTAATGCAGCTAGCAACTTCTCCATTCTTCTCCGTCTTGGGCCTCTCTCATCCATACAATTCCATGTAGTTGTTCAGGCGAGTGGAAAGCCTTCGGAAGTAAACTCCTTGAAGAAATTTTATTAGCAACAACTGTGAGTGAG